CGTGCTTTTCCAGGTTGCGATTCGCTACACTACCAGCAATTGGGCCACCCACGACGAGGTCGCCGCAACTTACGGACACACCGTCTTTGGCGCTGACAACGTCGACGCCTTTGTATTCTCAATGATGCTTCCCGCAGGTGTAAAGGTTCGTTTAAACTAGCCCTAAGTTCTTGTGCACTGCGCAATCGGCCGGATTCGATCTGCCATTTGACCCTAGCCCGGCTCCTCTCCCCACTACACCGCTCGAGGAAATAAACAGAAGAGCTCCAGGGCTTTCTGAATTCCGTATCTTCACATGGCTGTATTTCTTACCTAGGTTAGCAGGCGCAGCAGATATTTTCTTACATTTCAAGGCAGTTTTCACGATGAAAAGGTAGCTTATTGGAGGTTGAGGTGGTCAGTGGAGCAGGGATAAAGAAGAAACCATGGGAAACGGCCCAAACCCGAGAAATGGGACCCCTTCCTTGCCCGTTGATTTGCGCATTGATGCGACTCTCATCGTTGTGTCTCTCAACGCTACGCTCTCTCTGCTATCTAATCACTTACCGAGTATGGGCCTGCGCCGGGTGGTGAGATGGTTGGTGGACGGTGCAGGCCAATTGGGCCGTGGATTAGGGGGTGCGTAGCGTTTCTCCTCCTGGGGTCAGGTCACCTAAAATTGAGACGCCGTTCATTCGCTCGGAGCAAGCTTAGGACTAAGCCTAGGCCCAATCATAGGCTTAGGCATAAGCCAATGTGTAAGCATAAGCCTTAACCTAAGTCTAAACCCAAACTTAACCTTAAGCTTCAATGATCGCGCAACTGTGGTGACCTGACCCCAGGAGGAGAAACGCACGTCTCCTCTTTCTTCAACCATCGTTCTTATCGTGGAATCCTCCTTTTAGCGTCAATTGAGGCTATTCTGCAACGGTTTTGGTGGACTGCAGGCGGTTACTGGGGGGTGGGGGGAGGTGTTCCACTTGCCGGTTTAGTAGTGCACTAATCAGCTGATAGGAAATTGGTTACTATATGCACCGAAAACGCCCCTTTACCTAAACCAAACTTACCTAATCTAAAGTTTCCTAAACTCTTACTGGTTTGTCGTCCTCAACCAAATATTTCAGGAAGGACAATGCCAGTTCTGTGTGCGTTTCTCCGTGAATGGTCAAGAATTCTGGGACAACAACTCGGGAAAGAACTACTGCGTGGACATTGTTCCGGACGCGTCACTGCCGCCGTCGTATGAGCGCTGTCCCGTACCCACAATGACTCCGGCAGTCACCACGTTTTTCACACCGCGTCGTCTACGCCGTTGGGGAAGGGCCCAAGAGGAATCGGACGATGAGAGCTCACGCGTGTACATCCCTCGCCGTAGGGCTGTGCTGTAGATGCGCCTGCTTATTGGTGGAGTCGACTTACCAAGTGTGCTATTTGTGCTTGGTTGTAGACAGTCATTGAATCGGAGGTGACTGTCGTGCGGGTAGTTGTCGCTTCTCCTCCATTTGCCGCTCATTCAAGTCAGCGCTTCATTTCGGAAATCGTCATTGTGCCTCGGTAGAAGTGTATTTATGCTCTAACATATTACTTAACGTGGTACTAATAACGAAGTTTCACCCGTCAGTGAAACACACAATTGCTTTGAGTTCATCGTAGTGTGCGCTACGGTGAAGCAGCAGCTCTTGTATTCGCTTGTGAATTACCGTATCAAACGCTATTCGCGTTGCTTACATCCATAGATAATAGCTGTAGTACTAGTGTTTTTTTTTGCTTGCAAGTTGACGGCGACTGGTCAGCCTCCTTGTGTTTGTGACCATGTCGCTTCCGGCTTTTTTGTCTTGATGAGTCGATTAGACGCCGGGTTTTGCCTCTTTGAATGGTGTATCTGTCGGCTTCATATATTTGCCGGCTGCTTTTTTTGTCCTTGTATTCGATTTGTGCCTTATAATTGCGTTTAAATCGCGCTAATGCTGTGATGTAGTGCCTCTCGCCCGTGCCTGTTCGATTCCTTTCGAGCTCATCAAAACGACGCCTTTGCCGCCACCCCGCGCCCCCGCGCCCCATCTCCCTCCTCCCAGACCCCCCGTTCACGTGCCCGCATCCTCCCCACACACTGGCATGGGCTCCGCTGCGCGTAAGCCAAAACAAATCTCCGTTGTGATGTCCCTTGCCATATGTGGAATCTCTTCTCTGTCGTTTCGCACGCATTTCTCATTATCTAACCACGACACAACAATAATAACAGGATTGCTTTACGGGTGCGTTGTTTATAAATATATACATATTTTTAATGAGATAGTTCCCTTTTTCTCGTCGTTTTATTTGTAATTCCTTTTTGTGTATTTTGATGCTTGAATACATATTTTTATGACAATAAAATAATCTGACATAGTAGTGTATAATGTCTGGCAAAAATACACGGATCACAGTCAACTCAGAGAATTCTTCCGTCCAAAAAAATACAGTAATAGTTTTTTTTTCAACAATGGACAGAGCAGTTCCATTTTAAATCGTAATTTTCAGGGTAATGGTGTGGGGATTGGACGCTAACGGAGCCAACACCGACTTTGAAGAGGCGTTTTTGAGAATTTTGTTGGAACAATAGATGTTCAAAGCTGCTAAGCAAAGAAAAAACACACCCTAACCCCCTCCCCCCCCCCCCAGAAGCTTCACACAAAAGCCAGCTATCAAGCCCTCCATCATCAGGGTCAAAGGCATGCCCCAGGATCACATTGGTGTGGCTCTTGCACACGAATGCGAATGTATTGGTGCGAAATGGGCCGGCAGTGAAAAAAAAGGAAAAGAATCCGTCGAAAACGCTAAGGTTGAGGGCTCACTCACCTTCCTAATCGGCTGTGCTAAGGGAATGAGAGACTAAGCGCGGTTAGAGGAGAGTATGAGATGAGAGAGCGCAACAGATGAGAGAGCGCCAGACAACAGAATAATGAAAGAAAAAATCTGCAGGTCAAGCGGCTTACTTGGAAAGGCCCTAGCCCTTTTGCTGGGTGATTATCCTATAGACCGAAGGGAACCGTTCAAAATTCTGCCTGAGTTGTGCGTTTAATAACTACATGGCTCAAAGCTGGAACTCCTGAATTTAACTCTAACTGGCGAGCATCAAAAGCAGCAATGACGAAAATATCGCAGGATGTACTGCTAGAGGTTCGAAGTAAGTCTTTATTACGTGGGTCAAGAGCCAATCACTTACTCTAAAGGTCTGAATGGAGGTCGATGCGTGGTGCATTTTTTTGTGGAATTCTGAGCCCTGAGCACTTACTTACTCATTGCGCTACATTACAGACAAGTCATTTTTGGATATTGCAAGGGTTTGTAGGCGGAGACTAGAAACCTTCGGCTTGTGTATTGAAAGTAATTTCTAGTGTGCTGGACAGTACCTGCCTTTCCAGTCGCCTCTCATACAGCCAACAGTTTTCTCGAAAACGCCTCTCAGCTTCGATGCTCCGCTGGTGGGATTTGTAAACAATGAAAAATTCTGTACTTCAAAGGCCACTGGGAAAACAACGGAGTATAGCTATACAAATGCAAAAACGAAAGTACAGTGTACAATAGAAATTCGCAAGAAAACAAGAAAATGATATCCGATTCTGAGACACATGGAGAGAGCCGCCGTCTGTCAAAATCGTCGAGTAGCCCGTGAGTCGGCTGGAAAAAATAAGACAATTAAAGAACAAAATGCTTCTGACTTGCAGTAAATGTAAGGGCAGTGCAGTAAGCGCACAAGTGAAACTCGATAAACGTAGAGAGGATTTGCTTCGCTACATCCTCATGGACCTTTGAGCATCTTTCTGAACTTTGCCCATATAATAAGCGGCGCAATCGTAAGATGGGGCGACCTCTGGAACTAAACCCAAGAGGGAGAGAAACTTCAGGGAAAGCGGAAATTGCTCATGCACCCTGGATTTTCTCCTCTGACGTCTAAGATATGAGTCCCAACAAAAAGAGCGTTTAACGCGATTTGAATTGCGTTGCCACAACAATGCCTCCGTATCTTGCGATAGCGCCTAATAAGCTGTACAATATGGTAACGATAAGCTAGACAGGCCACCGAGTTTCTTTCCATCCTCTCCCTAGTGAATGATACTCGCTCACATAAGCACTAGCGCATGCAACTGCAACGTATGTAGGAAAGCTAATTGTTCGTTAGGGCTGAAACAGGCTGTCGGATTATAGCTTTGCTTCTTCGATTCGTAAGCTGGAGATGCTGCTCGCACCATTGATAATCGATGGGCGTCCAGATCGGTTGATTGGTTTGGTGGGGGTAGAAAGGAGGTAAAATTTTTTGGAAAGTTTTGAGTTTTTGTGGGGGTAAAAAGGCTGCATAGGAGGTACCCAATCGATCCGCTGCAGCAAATTCTTGACCAAAAATGGCGACCAGTCGTAAGATACTGTGGAAACTAACAAAGGTGTCAAAGAATTCACGACCACTATCGAGTGCGGATTAAAATCTATTCACAGCCTTCACATATTCCGCAGTCGACATCTGGCTTGTCGTAAACAGTCCGCAAGCGAGAAAAAGGGTGAGAATATGGTCATCATTTTGGATAAAACTTAGCAGGAGTCTTGCACAAGTTTGGCTTTTTATTGAATATGTCAGTGGTTTTTCTCTGAACAATCAAATTGCGGTTGTTGAATTGCAATTGTTGAATTGCAAGGAGTTAGTCTTTCCCCTGTGTCTTTATTTCGCAATCCCAACTCACTGATGAGCTCCGGGGATTGACGAAATAATAAGGTTCGTCTGAGGAAGGAGCGAAACGAACCATTTTAATTATTTCGTTTATAATGGTTTTTCTTTCCTTTAGTTGAATTCCTCCTCAACTAACGCTCTTGTACAGAATTAGATAGGGATCAAAGCTAATTTAGACATGATCAAAACTCCAGAGATCCCATTTTGAGAATTTCCGTAAAAACTGAAAAAAAATCCTGCAATTATACGCTTCTCGATGCCCTCATTTCAATAACAGTTATCCTGCGAGTGTTTCGTAGCGCTTAACTCCACTGGATTTAATCACAAGATCCGCAGGCAATATTTACAGTGCAGAAGCTCGGCCGAAGTCCTACAGCTGGTTGAAAAATTAGCGGATCAGTGACTTTGTACAGCGGTGGCCAAAAAAGACACTTTGCTCTATAGCGCACATCATCAAACTTTTCGTCGCACATGGTGCCGCTGCTGGTGGAAGTTTTCCCATAAGTGGAAGCAAACCGTCCTTCACTGCTCGCCGTCCTCAAAATACGACGTCATATTCCGGATCACCTGTTGACGCTTACAACCGGGACTGGGGTGATGTCGTTCCAGCCCGAATGAGGCTACGCGAGTTTTCTGTAATCTGTTCAGCACAGATTGGCTTCTCGCGGAATAGTACTCAATATATGCAAACACCCCTTGTCAACCAGCGTATTCAGATGTCTGTCAGTAAAGGTCCATGGTCCGTCGAGTCCAGTTGAGCTCGAGCCGTGCACGAGGTTCCAAGGAAATTCTTGAGATGTTCTTGGAGCAAAAGGTTATTATAAAACGTTTATTTATAGATTTGGAGTGCTCTATAATACTAAGTGGGGAGCAGTCGGTTTGAGTCTAGCAAAGTATGATTAATGCTGTCTGAAATGTAGAGTGACGTGTCTCTTGCTTGGCGACCCCTTGTAGATTTAGGATTAGACCGTTCGTGTCACACACGACCTACGACATTCCATGCATCTGTGACTGATTCAAGAGGATAATCACTGTTCGATGATATGAACATTTCCGAGTGGCAGTGCGGCTATAAGCTGATGAGTGAGAGCAAAGATGTGCCAAATGGTGAGTCGGTAGAAAAAATTAATTGGACAAAAACCTAAAGAAAACTCCTTCTTTTCCTCATTGATACAAATATGAACGAGCTAACCACGGCTGTTCGCGTCTGAAGGCTGCTGCAATGAATTGTCCTTTGGGTGAAAATCCACTGCGGGGGCCGCTCCATTATGTTCTCCAGTACTGTGAGATAGATATTGAAGCGCTCGCTGACACGTATTCGACCCATTTAAATTACACTTCTGATTAGTATCGTGGAATGTTGTAATGTGGAAGGAATTCTGAGATGTTTTCATACTTCCGGCTGCCAGGGTATAAGGAAACGGCCCTGGACCAGGGGAGTGAACACCAACTTCTAGGCCTAAGGGAGAAACTCTAGGGTGGATGACCTGAGGCAGAAAATTGGATAGAATATAGGCAGAATGTGTGAAATGCAGGAGTTCTACCGATCTTATAGTGAGTACACTTAAAGGACGAATTCACGCTGGAAAGGCAACCCATTTCAAATTAAGTTAGCGATGGTGAGTGGTACACTAAAGAAGGAAAAACCATGAGAAACGGCCCAGAACCGAGAAAATGGGACCCCTT